CCAAGTAGCTGGAGCTACAGGCGCGCGCTACCACGCCCGGCTGATTTTTTTTTATTTATTGTAGAGATGAGGTCTCGGCAAGTTGCCCAGGCGGGTCTCGAACCTGCAGTCTCAGGCAGTCCACTCACCTCAGCCTCCCAAAGCGTGAGATTACAGGCTGAGCCACTGAGCCCGGCTGAGTTTACTGAATTTAAGTGGGCACATCCTTGTTCTACAATATAAGCATTTGATGAATAGAAGTTTTTTTGTCTTCCCCCTTCTTTTGATTTTATTAAAGACTTAGAAGTTAAACATCTACAGAAAAGTTTATAATGAAAGCCAGCAATTCCTTCTCTTATTGCCTATCTTCAATCCCAGTCTGGTTTTGTTTCCCTGGTGATGATGTCTCTTATTCTAAAGGCTCTCCTTCTGTCACTGTTTTTTAATGTCTGTGTATAAAATATTGACTCTGCTGTGAAAAAGAGTATTTGATTCTCCTTGGTCTGAGCTTCCTGCAGTTTACTTTCATGTTTTAAAACTTTATTTCCACTTCTCTGTCTGGTTCCCTCAGCTAAAAAACAGTGTCTCTCCCACCTTAGTAAGAATTTTAGGGCCTCCTAGTCTATTATAGGAACCTAGTTAATATGTTAAGTATTTTGCATATAACTTGAATCTCAAAGTTGCAGTTAGTAAACGGTATTTATATTATTTTGATGAAAAAAAATGTTCACTGCTGAGAAAATGTTCTGGTATTAACATTTTCTTTGCTACAGTACAGCCAGAATACCTCATGACCAAAGTAACTCCTTGGCCCTGTAAACTCACAGAAGCATTAGTTTGAATAAAATAAGCTACAATAATTCCACTTTAGCTGCAGAACTGAAATGTACAAAATCATATTTTAGATTATTTTTCCCAAAATGCTTTAATTTCCTTTTGTTTATTCTGAGTCTCATCTCCTTACTCTTTTTTCTGTTGTTTTTATTTTACTATAGAAAAATTTTAATGATACACATACAGTTAAAGAATTTGTAGAGGATATGTTCTTCATGATCAATTATCAAAATATTAAATTAAGACTGACTTGGGCACTGTACCCCGATGGACCTAAATCTATACAGATCTTTATTAGTTTATATACATAGTATGTTATGAGATTTGATTCATTATAAAAGAAAAATCTCTTCTTTTTGCTAACTACCTATCCCCATAAACAAATAAATCTCATTGTGATTCAGTTTTCTTTACTGTAAATTTTTGCTATTAAATTGGGGTCATTGAGTCCAGGCTGACAAAGTTGTAGGAGGTGAGTTCCCAGGAATCCAGAAACAGGCGTTTTCAGGAAGATTTGAGTGTCTCGTGTGTGGGCCTATTTATGTTCAACATGGGTCATAGAATAGAAACAAAATCAAATGACGTTTTAAAGTAAATGTGAACCTGCAAAGAAAATTATCTTCCTCTGTTGCTGTGGGTCTTTAGAACCCCGGAGCACTTTCTCTTGCTCTGACAGAAAGGAATACTTCCAAAAAAAGTGTTAACTGCTTGGTGCCAATCCATGCATTTTCATTTTAAGACAGAATGAAATACAGCCACTGACTGTTGGCTTGTTTGTTTTTCACTTATCTACCGTATTCTGGAGTATAAGATGCCATTGATTGTGAATTGCATTGGTTTTATCATATACTGACAGACATTTGCTCATATCAGCCTCTTGTTACTTTAGATGTCTTTCATCTAGTCTAAGAGTTTTGGCAGTATCTCCTATATGCACTGGCATTGTGGTATGTGATAAGCAATATTTTGTTTGTGTCTGTTCACAAAACAAAAATAGCTTCATCATCTTTTGGGTGTTTTTCTTTTTGGGACCCATAAAGCATTTGGTTAAGAAAATAAGGAATTGTAGACATTCATCCAATGCTAAATATTTATTTTATTAATATCAAATCTTTACCCTGCTACTCTGTTTCTTTTCCTTTCTAATTTACAAAGTAAATTTTTTTGTTTCAATGGTAAATCATTGTATAATCATCTTAAAGACATTTTAAATGGCAGTTAAGTTCAACATGTACAGTGTACATAATTATACATTATGAACAGCTGGAAGAAAAAAATCTGCATCTTAGAAAATAAATCTTAGCCAGGCTCAGTGGCTCAGCCTGTAATCCCATGCCTTTGGGAGGCTGAGGTGAGGTGAGTGGATTGCCTGAGTCCGCAGGTTTGAGACCTGCCTGGGCAACTTGGCGAGACCTCATCTCTACAATAAATCAAAAAATCAGCCGGGTGTGGTAGCACGCGCCTGTAGTTTTGGCTACTCGGAAGGCTGAGGTGGAAGGATCGCTGGAGCCCAGCAGGTCGAGGCTGTGGTGGCCGGGAGTGTGCCACTGCCCTCCAGCCTGGGCGACAGAGTGAGACTCCAACTCAAAAAATAAATAAATAAATAAATAAAATCTTAAGGTATAAAAAATACTCCTTAGAATCAAAATATGCATTTCTTTCTCTCAAAAACTTTATGTTAGCTAGTCAGGTAGTATATTACACCTTGCCTAGACTCTTCCTTAAAATTCATGGTTCTTAGTTTTACTCTAGGATAGAAGTAGGACTCATCAGAAATCCTTAGGGCTGCTGCTGATTCTTTATGAAATATGTGTTATTACACAACAGACTAGAAAAAGAATATTAGAGAAATGCTCAAGACCTAAATTCTACTCCCTGCTCTGCCGCCAATTGACATTCTGACTTAAGAGCTCAGGTTTCTCACCTGTTAAATTCCACTGTTAGATTAGATCAGAGATTTTTCATTCCTAGCTACACTTTAGAATTACCTGAGTAGGTTTTAAAAAAAAATTGTCTGTATGTGAAATGTACAGCATGATGATGATGTGATATACATGTACATAGTGAAATGACCACCGAAGTCAAGCAAATTAACATAACCGTCACTCGTATAGGTACCTGTTTCTGTGAGTACCTGAAGGCTACTTCCTTAGCAAATGTCCAATATACAGTACAGTATCATTAACTGTAGTCCTCAGGCTGCACACTAGGTCTTCATCCTTCCTAGCTCTGCAGCTTCGAATCTATACATCGCCCCGTGCCCTCCCCCAACCCCATAAGCACCATTCTACGCTCTGTGTACTTGATTTTTTTTTTTTTAGAATCACTTAGGCAGCTTTTTAAAAATGCCACTGACTGGGTCTCACTTCAGTTAAATCAGAAACTCTGAGCTTGTTTGTAATATTTCTTAAAAGTTCGTCAGATGATTCTGATGTTCAGCTGTGTGTTGAACGCTGAGTGAGATGACCCTATACTTTATGTAAGTCAGGCTCTAAAGTCACCAACCTGGGTTTAATTCTGGCACTGCTGCATATTATCAACATGCTATAAGATTTGCTATGGTAGAAGAGCAATCTGATGATGATAGCAGCATCCATTTGTTGACTGTCTGCTTGTGTGTTTCAGGCACTGATTTTCTGTTTATGTGTAGCCATTCAAAGAATTCTCACGGTAGCTTTTTCAAGATAAGTATTGTCAATCTCATTTTGCAGGTGAAGCAACAGAATCTTAAAGTTAAGCACTTTGACCAAGTTTACCCAGCTAATAAGTAGAGAAGCCTGGATTTAAATCCATGAAGTCTTGCTCTGTAGTCTTACTCTTAGAAAAATCAAATATATATGTGCCATGAGGGAAAGATAAAACTCTAAAACCTCCATTAGGCAGTCAGATGTTCAGGAAATGATAAACTCCTTAGGGGCTGACTAAAAGCTTTTGGATCAAAACCGATTTTAGGGAGTATCTTAAAATTTTACAGGTTGAAAGGACAGATAACAGAGATAGGTTTTAATTTTCACTGTCCTGCCATCACATACATGAAGCTACTTGTATTTTCTTGATGCAGTTGTAGAAAGGGAAGAAAGTGAAGAGATTTCTAAGGTCACACCGCTTACAGGTGATCTTCCTGATATGCTTGTTTGTTGTACTTAACAACCTGGGATTTGAGTCCAAAAGCAATTACTGAGCCAACTTTTCATTGATACGCTGAATCATATTCAACTAGAAACCAGATGCACAGACAGCCCAAGTGTTTGAAGGAAAATCTGTTAGTCAGTGAATAAGGTGGGAAGTGAATTTCAGAGAAAATTTTCAAAATATTCTAAGCTCTTTGGTGAGGCAGTTGAGAATGCCTCTATACCTTGTTGATCTTTGTGTTGGGAATAAACTTGCCCTTTCTAACAGAAGTCGGCATTTCATGGTGTTGTGCATCAGCCATGCTGAGAAATCAGGGGCGGGGTCTTCATCTGCATGCAGCCTACTTAATTAGTCCTCACTTATCTTGCTTAGCTAATCCTACTTACTTAATCCTCACCTATACCCCACCTCTCCATGATAAAATAAAAATTTTAAAGTCTTAAAATAGCAACTGTATTATTTTGAAAATAAGCCAGAAGATTGACTTAATTTTTTGCCCCGCAATAATCAAAGAGAAATCAGATTGTGTGCCACGTTTTTTCATCGTTTGCCATGTGGTATCAAACTGAAGGAAACTGACCTTGGGAGGGAAGTAGGCCATTCACTCAGCCTTCCAACAACTGTTAGGAATGTAAGTAAGAGCTTTCGAAGTAGATGTACTGCTGTTTTCTAGTGGGAAGGGGAAAGCCAGCGCTTTCATGGAGACTTTGATTCTAATGCGCTGTCTCTTGTTTTAGATATTGCCTGGATGATCGAAAAGCTTTGGAAAGAGATGGGGGATTTGCTGAACTTCAGTCTCGTCTTATTCGCTATGAAACTCAAACAACCTGCACCAGAGAGAGTGTTCTGGCACCTGCTGTGTTGAGCCCTTTTCCCTCTCCTGCGATTTTGTCAGAGCCTGGCAGTGTCCCGGACAGAGAAGCTTTACAGAGTGAACCTCGAACCGCAGTATCCTGCTTGAAGCGGAGATCTCAAGATCTGAATTGTCTTCATCACAAAAAAAGGTGATATCTTAAGTGCACATAAGTAGGATCTTGACAGAAAGCATTTTAGTTTCTAGATGATTTTTTCAATTTTTTATTAGTCTTTCAGATTAATTTCTTCATGCCAGAAAGTTTTGTTTTTATTGTGAGAAGTTGATGATTTTGCTTATAAGTTATAAAAAGAAGTGACTTGGGAAAGAAATGCATGTTTCTTCATATGCTAATAAACAGTCCATTAGCATGGTGCATTGTCAGTTTTAAACTGTGAAAAACTGGAGATCCTGCCCATGGATGAGCATCTCTCTCGAGTGGTGTCCGGAGATGGGAGTTCTGTGAGCTCGTCCTGCCCCCTCCTCTCCCGGTCCCTGCCTGCCCTGGCCATTTAAGTAAGGGCTTCCAGGAGGCACCATCCTGGTACTACTTGTTGCATGTAAAAGTTAGATTTAAAGGCTTCTTTTTTTCCTAGCTAAATAAAATGTCCAAACATTTGATCAGAAGTTAGAAGTTTATGTCACGAACACTCCCATTTCTATTGAATTTGTATATCTTTAGAACCGTTGTCAAATTTAGGCTCTTGGTATCTAAAGCAAGCCTTAAATTCTTATTATATTTACACCTTGAAAAAATATGAAAGCAAAACTTTCAAGTTATATTTTTTGAATAGTTAAAAATATTATGAAACTGTTTCCCTGATACGGAAGTAGTAAATCATTTTTTATGAGGACCTTATAAATTCATGATACTTTTTATAACTTTTGGTTAAAAGAAAAGCATCAATATTAGCATTTGGGATACTGTACTTTTTAACTGTATTTCTTATTTCTGACCTGTGACTAATAAAAAGATATGTTCCTGAAAGGAAAGTACACTGTGGCCTCTGGGTTAGCAGAACTGAAGTCCGTAAGACCCTACCTTGTAAAAGAGAAAATTGGGGTCTTGATGGAAGCAAATGTAAACACTTTAGAATGATTAAAACATGCACCAATTTTATAGCTTCACTATTACTTGTTTTGTAAGGCATTTCATAGGTATAAGAAGAGGCTGTGGTTTCTTTGTTTAAATTATCTAATAGAGCCGGGCTTGGTGGCTCAGTCTGTAATCCCAGCACTTTGGGAGGCTGAGGTGAGTGGATTGCCTGAGCCCGCGGGTCCGAGACCCACCTGGGCAACTTGGCGAGACCTCATCTCTACAATAAATCAAAAAATTAGCCGGGCGTGGTAGCATGCGCCTGGAGTTCCAGCTACTTGGAAGGCTGAGGCGGAAGGATCACCGGAGCCCAGCAGGTCGAGGCTGCGTGGGCTAGGAGCGGCCACTGCACTCCAGTCTGGGTGACAGAGTGAGTCTCCAACTCAAAAAAAAAAATTATCTAATAGAAAAGTACTTAGCAAATGAGTGTTAAATCCATAAACCTATAAATAACTGTCATGCATAGTTGACTTATGTGAGAAATTGAAAATTGGAGAGATGGGGAGGGTATAGCAACATTGCTTATTGCTTTCTCTGTTTGCTGAAATTCTAGTTTGTTATTCATTGGTTTCTGCGTTTGTCACTCGGTGAAGAACTAAGGAGCAACTTCACGTGATGTTGGTTGCTTCTCATGAAGTTGGTTGCTTATTTAAGGCAGTAATAGCAAGAAATTCTGTTTGCTTTTCTTGAATTCATGTTTGAATAGATGTAGTTGTAACATTTAAGATAGTACTTGAACTTCATTGCTGACTCAATCTTTGTTCTTGATTTTTTGTCCCACTGTAGACTTGTGAAATCTGAAAGTTCAGACTCTCTTCTTTCTCAGACAAGTGGTAATAGTCACTGCAGTCATCATCACGTGGTGATATCCAGAAAACCCCAGGCAGAGCGGTCGTTGTCAGCAACTTGTCCGTTGGTTGTAGTTCCTAGTTGTGAGACTCCAAACGTCTCTACCAAGGGCAGTTCAGGTCAAAAAAGTATGCACGAATCAAAAACATCAAGGCAAACTAAGGAATCAAGATCACAGAAACATACACGGGTAAAGATGTATTATCCATTTTCTTAGTTCTACACTGGAAGAAATTTTTGTATTTGGTTCTTCTAAAGAGTATGTCTAAAAATGTTATGAATGAATGATGTCTAGAATTTAAGATAATCCAGCGCAAGAAGGATGATGGGTGGGGGCATAAATGAAACAAAACTAGCTACAGATAGATCATCCTTGCAGCTGGTTGGTAGAGATTTGTTATAAAATGTTCTCCACTTATCTATGTTTGAAATTTTCCGTAATAAAAATAAACACGCACCTATATATTCCTGCTGTGTATGACTTAGACACTCAGATTTCACTTCAGAAGTCATGATTTGAATTTCTTTCTTAGGATACTGTAGTCATTTCCTGCTAACATATTAATCCTGCAGCATGTGTGACCATATAGTATAAATGTCATAGATAGCTTTTCTTCTCTGTCACTTTGTCTTTTAGCACAGCAAAATGATTGTGTAATTCACAGGATTAAACTCTAAAGCTGAAATTATAGGTCTGTACCTTTTCTAAGACATATTAGTCATATGTTGTGTTCTGTTCAAGATATTAAAGGAAGTAGTTACTGAAACACTGAAGAAACACAGTATTACTGAAGCTCACAAATGTTTTACTGCATGCAGCCAGCGTCTCTTTGAAATCTCTAAGTTCTACCTAAAGGTACGATGTCTTCCCTACTGATGGCAAAATTTAGTTTATGTTCTCACATTTTTGTTTGACATTTAAAAAGTTTATAGTATTTTTTATACTGAGAGCATATAACTTGTTACCAGATTTTTTGAATGATGGTGATAGAAAAATCAAAGCCAGAATATTTTATATTTGAGTTTAGTCCTCATGTATAGAAACCTTCATTTTAACTGATTCCTCAGTATTTCCTCTACTAAGACTAAGTCTTTGACTAAAGTTGATAGTAAGCCTCAAAACATGTTTAATGGGTAATTTTCTTAAGTACAGTTAGCTCTGTATATCTGTGGGCTTTGTTTCTGTGGGTTACACATCTGTGGATTCAAATAAACATGAATTGAAAATATTCTAAAGAAAAAAAAGTGAATGGTGCTTCTATACTAAACACGTACAAACTTTTTTCTTGTCACTGTTCCCTAAACAATGCAGTTTAATATCTATTTACATAGCATTTATGTTGTATTAGGTATTACAAGTAGTCTAGAAATGATTTAAGGCATACAGGAAAATGTACGTAGGTTACACGCAAATATCTTGCTTGAGGAACTTTAGCATATGAGAGACTTTAGCATCTGTGGCTTTGGATTCTGAGGACACTGAGAGATGACTGTCATGAAAAGGTTACTAGACTGAATATCAAAACACCCAGTGTCTAATTTTGGATCCATTATCAACTAATTGTAAGACATTGGACAGGTCAGCCTCTCACATGACAGCTTTCTAAAACTTAGATGGTGTTAGGTTAATTACCTCCACCTTAAAAGTTTGACTTGAATCACAGTTACATGCAGGTTTCTAGTGACACTGCAGATTGACCCTATGCATTTAATTCCCTTCCTTTCTAAAATCTTCCAAGAAGGTCAGTATTAACCTCCAAACTCCAGAGAAGAGACAAGAAAAGCACTAGCAATGTTTGTGGTCCTTGCTGAACAGAAAAAAGCACGTGGAGGCATGGTCGAGCAGAGTAGGAGTGGTGCCCATGCAACTGCATCCCCGGCGGATCCAGTCAGAATCACGCTCATGCCACGACCAGTAGGAGGAGGTCCATGGAACCGGAACCTGGAGGCAGCCAGTCAGAATCATGCTCTTGGACTGACAGTCTCAGGGTGCTCAGACTCGGGAAACTCTGGGTGTCATGGGAGGCCAGGCCAGAGGTCAGGTGGGAAAATGAAAGGTCCACAGATCTGGGGATCCCCACTTTGTCTGCACACCCTCTTCCACGGTGTCAGCTGCAAGGTGTGTTGTACATTCTTTCTCCCACTCTGTGACAGTGCAGGAAGTCGACTTTTGAGAAAAAGTTGGAGGATGCGGTGGAAGAACTAGCTGGCTACCTTGTCACCTGCCTTGAGGAGAAACCAGCAACAAGCTCTGCACAGACAGAACTTCCAGTCAGGTTTTTAGTCTGTCACTTTTAAATATGACTGGACAGCCACAGAGAAGCAGACTTAGAGAACAGCTTCTGGCACAAGTGATGCCAAGACATGAAGGAATGAAGAGAGCTGAAGGGGCAGGACGTTGAAGAAACTTTGTGAAAACTGTACTTCTTAGAAAGAAGTTAGTTGCATCCGTAAAACTAGAGCATCCTACTCTTTCTAAAAAAATGAATAGAACATGAAACCTTGAAATTAACAATATGATAAATCAATTCAAGAGAAAGACTGAACAGTTGAGATGGAAAATTTTACCAGAAGTTAAAACCGAATGACAAAATCATTGCATGCAGGGTAAGAAAATTGGAGAATTAATCCAGAAGATCTAATATGCTAATAATAGGAGTTTGTTAAAAATGTAACAGAATTTTCCAGAACAGGAAGCAGACCTCCTACAGCAAAGGGCACACAGCTTGTCCCGATCGATTCTACACCAACCACATCACTGGGATTTTCCACCTCTGAGCATGGGGAGAACATTTTCTGAAAGCTTCCCAGGAGAAAAAGTAGTTTACATATCAAGAATCAGATGGCGTTGGACATCTTCACAGTGACGTTGTATACTGGAAGACAGTAGAAAAGTATCTTCAAATTTTGAGGGAAAGTCTTTACCTAGTATTCTGTACCTGGTCTATAATTTAGACAGGTGTGAGGGTTTAATGAAGATACATTCAAACGTGGGAAATAAAAAAAATATCTTACTGTTTTGAGGAATGTGCTCGGAAAAACTTCTCAAAGGATGAAGTTCAGCAGAACAAGGGGCTGAATCAGAAATAAAGCATCCTGCTGAACAGTGCACAGGGAAAAAAAAGAAAGTGAACAGAGGGTGGGGAAGACAAGTCCTAAGGTGGCCGGGCCTAGGGAGCAACTAGACCTCATTGGAGCAGGCTGTGAGAGAAGGAGCTCCAGGTTTTAAAAAGTTGGTTAAAAATAAACAACAGCAAAAACTTGAACTTAGAGATAGTCTAGTATATGTCTGTGTTTGGAAAAACTTTACTATGCATTTGGTCATTCTATTGCTAGCCTTCAAGAGGAGAAAAATCCAGAGTTATACACGTGGGAAACTAAGCAAATGAAAAAATTCAAGATAAATGGAATGTTGGAGGAAAGAAAAGTTGTAACCATATTGCATTAATTAGATTGGCCCGTATTTACCTAGGTGTACTAACGCAAACACTGTGTTACTAGCAGAAGTTGTGGGGCAACTGTCGTTGAAGGAGGAGAAGGGGGTGATGGCAGGAGACCTGGATCCACGGCGGGTGTCTTGGGACACCAAGTAGATACCGTCCGCAGTCGTTAAGTCATTGAGGAGCAGCGTAAACATGTTGTTAGAGACAGGGAGGGATCAGAGAGGAGCCGCTGAAGAATTGGACAAGGCTGCCTCTGTGGAGATAGCTTGGAGAGACAGCAGAGCGCTGCTGCTTTTTTCTTTTTTAAACTTCTTTTTCTAGAAAGGTACAGCTGGTTTTTTTTTTCACTTTGTAATCCAACTTGATGTAGTTATTCAACCTTAAAAAGTGAGAGGTGTCGGTTTCTGTGACATTCATCTTTGTGATGATGAAATCAAATAGTCAAAAAAAAAAATGTTGTATCTGATAAAGAAATGCAAACTATTCACTTCCTGAGTGATGACCTGTTTATAGATCCTCTTGGGTTCAGTCACCTCTGTCGGGTAAGGATGAAGGGAGGGGCTTGTGTGTATGCCTGTATCTTGCTGAGAAAATTTTGATAGTTCCCAATGGAGCTAAATTATAATCTTATTATTTTGATTATTTTGTAGTAGTTTCTGATCACATTGATACTTGTAAAATGAATTAGGATGATCTCAAGTTTATTTAACAATAATGAGTTGTTCTCTGTGATTTAATGTGCAGACTGTAAATTGCTGTATTTTGTTATGTTTAGGATCTTAAAACTTCAAGGGGTCTATTTGAAGAAATGAAGAAAATAACAAATAAAAATGCTGTACAGGTAAATAAATTATTCCCAAGAAACTACGGTCAATCAAAATTGTATTTTATTTCAGAGTGACTCTGATGCCATTATATATGCGGTTATTATTAGTGAGTGTTCTTTTCAGCTCTGTCCATATGAAAACTCTGTAAGATACTTAATTGACTTATTTAGGCAGACTATTTCATAGTATTTAGTAGGTTGCTCTGTTGACAAAAGAGTTTCTAAAGTGATGTTAAGAAAAAGAGAGATCATCCAAAGAGCTAGAAAAATGAATCCATTGTGATTATTGGTTTTCAAAATGTGGTTTAGTTTCTTTAGTGATCATTCGAAACATATTTTCTTTTTTATCTTTTTCTTTAAAAGTATTTTCAAATAAAGGTGAGAAAATGGAGCAGAATCTTCATTTTGTTCAGTGAGAACAATATTGTACTCAGTATTGGAAGTTCAGCAAAAAGTGTTCTTTCATTAGAAAGTAAAATGTTGGGGGGAGAAAAGAAAATGTATTTTTAAGTATAGGATTTGGATATGTTTCTTTTTATTTGAAATAGCCTACCATGTTATTTTGAGGTTTTTACAATTTTTTTGTTACTTGTGTTTTCAGTGGAAATATACCATAATCATATTTTTTTCTCCCCCTAGGTGATTGAATGGGAATTAGAAAAGTCAAGCAAGAAATGAAACAGAAGAATTCTCTTTAGGACAGTTACAAATTGGGTAGAGCTGATACTTACTTCTTCATCTCTTAGGTAGAAAATTACAAGCAAATTTCAAACTTTATTCGAATAGATCTTATATTCTTAAAGAATTTCAAAAGGTACACCTTATATTGATATCATTTTACGATGCTCACTTTGTGTATTTTTAGTTACGTTCTGTTTTATATATAGTTTCACTATATTTTGATGTTCAAAGTTATTTTTATATGTTTTGAAATTTTTATTCTTGGTTAATTATTACAATAAGTAGAAATATTTCCTTCTTTAATTGCATATCTTTGTTGTCAGGCCTCCTCATTTAGACCTTAAAAGTTTCAGTATCAGGTAAGACATGCCAGTGGCTTTTCCCATCTGTTCCAATAGTGAAGTGTAAGGGACTGCCCCCAGTTTAGAGATTGTTGGCAAAAAAAATTCAAACAGGCCCCAGCTCTAGAGCCACCACTGTTGGAACTACTAATGTTTGGGATAAAAACTGAAGGGCAGAAACTGAAAATAAGACGTAATGAAAATGACACTGAGCATAGACCAGTGGCAGAAAATCTGAAAAATGCAGACAGTGCAGAAAGGAGTAGAAAGTAATTACCAGCATTCCCCCACTATCTAGACATAGCCGCTGTTCGTATTTTAAATATAAATTTGTAATTATTTTATAAATGTGCTTTCAAAATGGAGGTCATACAATATATGTGGTGTTTATGTGCATGTTAATTTATAAAACCTGCTTTTTACTTAATATGAATTTTATATTATGTCCTTATTTTAGTGACTGTAAATTACAAAGGAACCACAGTTTGTTTAGTCTCCCATTACTGGACATAAAGTTTAGTTTTTCTCCATAAAAAATAAAATTTTAATGAATCTTCCCAGTATATCACTATTTTCCTAATAATACATTTTAGGCGGGGAATTTGTGTGTCTCAAGCTTTTTGGCCAATATTTCCAAGCTGCCTTCCCTAAAAACCAGTTTGTGCTCCCACCAGCAGAATGCCTATGTCCTTTTTTGAAAATAGTAAGTGTGAATTTTTTTTAATACGTTGACAATTATTTGCTTATACCTAGGTGTTGCCTGCTTTTTTTGTTTATTTGTTTGTTTTTAACACTTTGACTACCTGTTCCTATGAATTAAGGATATTGGCCCTTTGTCATTTTGCTTATGGTATCCTGAACATGTTTGTTTTGCTTTTTGCTTTATGTTTGTTTGTTTGTTTTTCTTTTTGGAAACTTGGCCTGGCTCTGTGAACCAGGCTGGACTGCAGTGGCATGATCATAGCCCTCTTCAGCCTTAGACTCCTAAGCACAACTGATCCTCTTGCCTCAGCCTCCCTAGGAGATAGGACTATAGACTACAGGCATGTGTCACCATGCCCGGCTAATTTTTGTATTTTTTGTGGAGACTGGGTCTTGCTGTGTTGCCCGTATGTACTGGATGAACTGGCTCGAAGCGACCCTCTTGCCTTGGCCTCCCGAAGCACTGGGATTGCAGGCGTGCTCAGCCACTGTGGCCTTGAAATATTAGTGTTTAATGTAGTCAAATTCACCATCTTTGTAGTTTCTTCCAGTTAAAGAAATTTGCCTATCACATATGCTTTGCTTATGCCAAAATCAAAGTTAATGCTTTCAAGAAGCATTTCTAGGAGTTCCATGAAGCTGTTCATTTGAAATGCTCTTTGTTTCTGAATTTTTCCTTATCATAGGATATTGCAAGTAGTGAGCCAATATTTAAAGATTCCATTAGATCAGTAAAATTATCTTTAATCAGACTAAAAAGCACTTGGGTTTAAGCAGTTGGTTTTCAGTACAACAGATTAGATCCGGCAATTTGAAAACATATGCTTGGGAACGGTAATAGTCATAGAAAAATAGGAAAAAAACCTCTCATAGCCTGTTTGTTCTACAAATGGGGAGAGTAATGCAACTTCACAAGGATCCTGTAAAGATGATAATACAGCCAGCATTTATTGAGCACTCACTATGCACCAGCCATTATCTTAAGGATTTCACATTATTATTTCCTAGCAGCTGTATTAGGTAGATGTTTCTCATTTTACAGATAAGAAATAGAAGCACAGTGAGATTTAGTGTTATATCCAAGCCACGTAGCTCAGAAGTCACAGAGCCAGAATGAGAACTTCGTTGGTTGAACTACACTGCATATCCTGTCAAGATTTCTGAGAGTATTGGTTTATAAATTTTTTTGTTTTTATCCCTTTCTTCAAAGGATCTTTGTTTTCTCTCATACTTAATAATATACTTTAAAACAAGTTTGAAGATCACCTGTAAGCCTGATACCATTTATAATATTTCTTAACTGAACATGTTCAGAGTTTCAAGGTGTTGGATAAACTTTTGAAATGCTGTTTGAAATTTAGCATATGTAGCTAGGCGCGTGGTTCATGCCTGTAATCCCAGCATTTTGGGAGACGGAGGCAGGAGGATTGCCTGAGTCCAGGGGTTCGAGACCAGCCTGGGCAGCTTAGCGAGAACTTGTCTCTACAATAAATTTTTTAAAAAATTAGCTGGGCATGGTGGCACACATGCCTGTAGTCCCAGGTACTTGGCAGGCTGAGGCAGGATGGCCTGAGCCCAGCAGATCAAGGCTATGGTGACTGTGAGCATGCCACTGCATTCCAGCCTGGGCTACAGAGTGAGACCCTGACGCAAAAATAAGTAAATAAATGGTACTTACTTTAAAAACAAAACAAAGAAATTTAGCATATGTAAATTATGTCAGCTAACCGGATCCAAACCAAAACCATAAAGAAAGTCAGGTGACTTAGTCACTCATTAAAGGACATAAAATAGCCAGATAACTTTGTAACAACGGAACAAAGTTGGAAGACTTATTACTTCATTTCAAGACTTGCTATAAAGCTACAGGGATCAAATATTTTGGTACTGGAATTAGAGTAAGCACATAGACCAGTGGAACAGAATCAAAGCTTAAGGCATACCCCCACACAAAGCTTTTCATTGAAGAAAAAAAAGACCTTTTCAAAGCATAAAGCCAGAGTAAGTAGAGTAGATAGCCATCCATATGGAAAAATTAATTTTCAACCATGACCTCACTTCATATGCTGATACTAACATGATGTGGCTTATTAGCCTTATACTCAAAATCTAAATCCATGAAACTTACGGAAGAAAACAGAAAAATCTTTATCACCCTTGGAATAAAACAAAGATTTCTTAGAAAAAACACAAAAATAAACATACAAAATAAACAATAAAATGGACTTCAGAATTTAAAAGCTGCTCTTGGAAGGACACCATCAGGAAAATGAAAATGTGAGTCCCAGACTGGGGGAAATTATTTGCAATGCATATCTCTGACAAGTGACTTATCCAGGATATATAAAGAATTCTCACAGCTTGATAAGGCGTAACCCCAATTTTTAAAAAATGGGCAAAAGATTGAAAAACATTTCAAAAAGAGGATACAGAAATGGCAGTGAGCACATGAAAAGATGCTCAGCATCACCAGTCATCAGAGGATGTAAACCAACAGGATGAGATGCCTCTGAACACCCACCAGAAAGGATGAGATCTGAAGAGACTGCACTGTGTCTTGGGGAGGATGTGGTGCATTTAGAAATCTCATATATGGCTGCTGGGAAGGAAAAATACTGTTCTCACTTTGGAAAGCTCTTAACTTTCTCATAAATTAAACTTACACCTGCCACGTGACTCGGTCATTCTGCTATTTTCCCAAGAGAATGGAGCCCCAGTCCTCAGACCTCTTTCGTTCTTCGTAGCCCCAAACTGGAAACTCCCCAAAAGTTCGTCCTCAAGCGAGTGGACAAGCACGCGCTAAAGCACGCATGCAGTGGAATGCTGTTCATCACTATGAAGGCACAGACTACTGAAACACGCAGCAGCATGGGCGACTCTCAAAACGTTGAACTGGAAGAAAATGCCAAAAGTGTGAGATTCTTGACGTGGCAAACGCTGAGCCATAGAAAGCAAAGGACAGACCCAGTGTCCTGTAGTGAGGGTCACATGGAAGCTGCACAAGGAAACATTTCGTGACGTGTGTCTCTGGTGTCCTGACTTGTGTGGTCACGCTGGTGTATGCACTTTCCAGAACTTACCAGGTCGCATGTTTAAGTTCATTGCATGCTGCACACACGGACACAAAGTGTTGGGAGCCGGCCACAGAGGCCCACTGAGCATTAGGGATCAGGAAGGGCTGTTGACCCCGAGACCACTAGGATGTGTTCGGGAGCTATTGACCCCATTTCCTCCCCCTTTCTACTCAGCACTGTAACCAAAATAGACTTGTAAACTCAAAACATAAAACTCTGAACCTGGGATGAACACAAGCTAACTTTAGAAGCTCATTGCTCCCATTCTTCCACAAACTGCGGTTTTGGCTTTCACACAACTTACAGTTCAAACTCAGGTCACATCTAAGAGCCTTAGTATTGGTCACAGGCTTCTGGGTCATGATTTTAGGATTTACTGAAGGTGAATAAGGTGTAAATTGTAGAATATAGTTTTAGAAGACAGCCACTTTGTTGAAAGAATGCGACTAGGTTACTTGCAGGTAGCCCACTGTGAACTTTGGACTGGGCCACATTCCAAACATTCTGGGATGGGCCACTTTAGCTTATAAAGTAAGTATTTAAGTTTCTATAGAATCCTTTAACTTGGTATTAGTATAAATCAGCATAGGATGAAAAAGGTGTATAGGCAGTCATGGTTTAAGCCCATCTGTTATGGGATTTTCTTCCTCATACCTGAAAGAATATTTGGTGGGTGGGGGACGCCCCTCACGCACCTGGCTTAGTGTATAAAAGACCCGTTGTAATTCCCAGTAAATGGCTTCTGCACTAGACAGGGGTCCAATTTCTCTCTCTCTCTCTCTCTATTACAGGCTGAACCACTGAGGCCAGCCTCTTCCCCTCTTTCTTCTTGCCCCCAAACGCCTATGCCATCTCCACCTTTGGGGTACCCTGAACCCGGCAGGAGCTGGACTCCCGCAAGAAAAGTTCTCTTAGGGGCTTAGCTCCAGATGATCACTCAGCCTTGGCTTTCCTTTTAATGCCATCTTCTTCCGTGGTCCCTGCTTTGTTTATGTGCCCAAATCTTCACTGAAGAAACCCCTGCTGCAACCTGCTTTATTATACTTTTGTATTTCTGCTGCACGAGGTCAAACCATATGAAACTGCTAGGACCCAGCCCTTCTGCCCTCAGGTCTCCATGAGCATGACCCTGAAAGGCATATGGGAGTGGCTGCAGTTTCAAAGAAATCTACCTATGGTTTTCCTCCTGTTAACTGTTCGTGTCTGGTGTCCAACTCCCACCACAGAGTCTCCCAAGCACTGCATGTTTGCTGCAGGAGGCCAGGGAGCTCGGGCTGCGCTGGCTGGAAAAGGTGAGCTGGATGGAGCGGGGACCAGGTCATGCCCTCTCCAGGGAACCCAGACTCCACTTGTGTGCTGGAGGTCTCATCTTGTTGACGTTGCATCCCCAAAGCGACCAGTGGCTTGGAAGGCTTTTTCAGTCACTCCAGCGGTTGAAGAAATCGATTCCTAACCCTTCAGGTGCCTGACTGGATCCCAGAGTTCCTCCCGTGCCGGGGCCTGCACTGTCCTCCCACAGGGCCAGCATGCTGATCGGAGCCTGCCTCGTGAGCGCTGCCGGGTGGGGAAGCCTTCTTGTCCCTCTGACTTCCGTGGTCGGACTCCGTCTTAACTTGACTTCCTGCTGTCCTCGCGCTTTCTCTTCTTGCCTACTGTGAACTGCTCAGGAAAGATATTTCAAATCGGAAGAGACCTGAACAGCCTCGAGGCCTCAGAGTGGACATGGGACATGGAGCTTCTGGGAAATGCCACTAGGCATAAGCCAAAGCTTGCGGAAGTG